GCAAGTCGGCACGGGTTCCCGTTTATAGAATGAGCTGAAATTTTTACTGGGATTATATAAACACGTAATAAATATAATTAGAGGGTAGGCGTAAAAAAAATAAAAATAAGGGACACCCCAATATATATATATACAGGGTGGTCCAGGTTATAGTAGCAATAATTCACCATTCGATAGTCCATCGAAAAATAAGTCGACATGCATGGTAATTTTTTTCTCCAAACCCTCCTAAGGGAGATACAGCCCTTCTTTTTTTGCCATAACTTTCAGGAAATAAAAGCGTTTTTGACCAAATTTGGTACAAGTACTTATGAAATAGGTACTCGTTACCTGACGTAAGTAACTTTTGTCAAAATCGTCCAGTGACGTAGATTCAGGGGGGTTGTTTCACTTTTTCCACCCCATTTTTTACGCCACTGGATATTTGTTTAAATTTACCTATTTTTCTAATTCCTTGTTCAATTTTGAAAAAAAAAGCCACTCTTGTCAAATTTTGATTTAAGGCTTTGTTTACGAGATAATTAAGTTTAAAAAAAACAAACAGTACTGCAAAGTTCAGTTTTAAATATCTTTTTTTGTCATGACTCTAACCCTAAGATCGCTAAAGCGTTTTTTACCAACTTTGATACATGTACTTAGTAAATAGATACTCGTTACTTGACCAAAGTAACTTTTGTAAAAATTGTCCATTGGCGAAGATACAGGGGTTGTTTCACTTTTTCCGCTCAGGATTTCACTGATGTGATTGTGTCACCAATAGCTTGTGTACATTCTCAAAGACCTTGCGATGTGGCTGTCATTTATTGGGAAAACGCCTTTAATATTCTTGAACTGCTTGCAACGCGTTCCCATCACAAAATCCATAAATGAAGTGAATATCGGCGTATTCGTGAATCGTGAATCGAAAAGGCATATTTATGATTACAGGATACTTGAATTAACTCTAAAATATCTTAACAGACTGTAAAAAATAATAGAAAACCTTTATTAACACTCTGACAGCTATTTCAGTTGTTTAAGACTGACAGTTCATACTAGAGTGGGGCCGCCCTAATTTTATTGAATAAAGCGCATCAGGCCACTTGATAATTTTAAATAAAAATACGTCAAGTGTTGATTACCTATTTTAAATACCTATACCAAATTTAATCAAATATTCTTAAACGATATGAGAGTTATAACAAAAAGATAAATCTTAAAATTGAATTTTGAAGTGCTTTAGGGGAAGTTTTGAAGAAAATAAAACAATGCATGTCGAGTTATTTTTCAGTGAAATCCTGGGCGGAAAAAGTGAAACAACCACTGTATGTACGCCAATGGACAATTTTGACAAAAGTTACTGTTATGAAACCCTCCATTACGTTTCGCCAATAAAACGGATACATATTTATGATTTACGATAGGTCAATTGAAATGCTGCAATTAAAGGAAATATAAAAGTTTAATTAAAGGGTAGGCATTTAAAAAAGTTATGACAAAAAAAAGATTTTTAAAACTCAACTTTGAAGGGCTGTATCTCCCTTAGGAGGGGTTTTGGAGAAAAAAATTACCATGCGTGTCGACTTATTTTTCGATGGACTATCGAATGGTGAATTATTGCTACTATAACCTGGACCACCCTGTATATGTATATTAGGGTGAGCCAAAAAAACTAACCTATCGGATTTATGGGTTAAAATGAACCTACATACCGAGCAAAAAATTTCCCTGCAAGGCAAAATTTTTTGCTCAATTTTAAAAGGTGTCGGTGAGCATTCTAAGTTTTCTATTGAAATAACACGTAAAAAAATCTTTTTTCATTAAAAAGACTATAACTTTTGAACCGTTTGAGATAAAATTTTTTACGTCGCGGATTCTTGTAGAGCATAAAATTTCCCAAAGAATCTATACCAGGATTATTTTTTTTAATTTAAAAATTCGTATGTTTGAAACTGCAGTTTTAGTGATTTTTACACTTTTCAAAGCTTTCAAACATACGAATTTTTGAATTAAAAAAAATAATCATGGTATAGATTCCTTGGGAAATTTTATGCTCTACAAGAATCCGCGACGTAAAAAATTTTATCTCAAACGGTTCAAAAGTTATAGTCTTTTTAATGAAAAAAGATTTTTTTACGTGTTATTTCAATGGAAAACTTAGAATGCTCACCGACACCTTTTAAAATTGAGCAAAAAATGTTGCCTTGCAGGGAAATTTTTTGCTCAGTATGTAGGTTCATTTTAACCCATAAATCCGATGGGTTAGTTTTTTTGACTCACCCTAATGTATATATTATATATATTAGGATGGGTCAAAAAAATCGACTATTTTAATTTTGACTTCTGCCACTAAAAAATCGGTTTCTGGGCACCTTCAAAACATGCTTAGCAACGATGAGCTCTTAACTTTGATGGGAAGATCCGCCTCATTACAGTTTTGCATATTTTTCTTAGTCCCCTACAAAAAAATTCATATCTCATCACTCGTTAATGTTAAAGTTATTTAGACGAATTTAGTGCTAAATCAACCAGTTTTAAGTGTTAAAGTAGTAATTTAAGAGGAGGTTAAATAACACGATTTAGAGTAATTTTAACACTACGATGGCTATTAAAAATAGCACTATTTTTGGTAAAAGTTACACTGCAATGCACACACACTACTGAGTGTAAATATTCAACTCTAAATAAGTTGGTCGTATATACCACCAAACTAGTGAACTTTAGTTTATACCTATTTACTCTATTTTTTACTGTACTTTTTAGTAGCCTTTGACTTTTGGAACGAATTAAAAATTTCACTTACACACTGTTATAAAAATTTCTTACATGAGTTTGTAGTTTGTTAATTTTATTTTGTAAAATTTTAACATAATTTTTTGCAGAAAACCAGAGTGTGTAATTTTAACAAACAATATTTTACCGAAAGTTTTCTAAAGGTCATATGCAATTTTAGTCAATCAAAACATTTTCCACTGACAATACGCATCAAGTTCAACTGACTTCAGCGTCTGCAACTTATGTTTTTGCTTACTTTATTCTAATTCGTAACGTGTTCGTAACAACTGTCCAGAGTAATATATTACCAAAAATATGTTATTGTTATTACCTATTTAACGAGTGTACGAAGTGCGAATTATCTGAAAAAAGATGCTATCACTGGTTTTCAAACTGAAATTAGGGGATAGAGGGAAGTGGTTTAAAAGAAATACATCAGTAAGTGCTGTTGTAGTACTGATAATTGTATTGTACCAAATTTTTTTATAATTTGATGATTTCAGAATGGTATGTTATTTAATTGTGTGAATGTTATTTTTGTTTTTATATATGTTTGAAATTGATTAATAAATCTACATTTTCCATTAAAATTATTTTCATTTAAGTTCTTCCACTGGGTATTATGATTGAATTATTAACATATGATTTTGTTATTAAATCTAAAAATGTTTGTTATAATTACAAACTACTTATTCAATTAGTTAAAAGATTACAGTTAACTTAACATAAAGTTATGTGGACCTGGATTAACATAAAATCTGGTTAATATTTGGTAAACATTAACAAATATTTGTTTACAGTGTAGTATAAAATGTGACAAATGTTAAAATTATGTTTTCTTTGTTACAAGTCAAACAATATTTAGTAACTACCTAATCATTGACTGAAAAGTTTAGCGCACAAGGCATTTAATGAAGTATGAGCCTACTCATAAGATATTCACCCAATTCCCTTATGATTGATGTGTTTTGAGATGAAGAACTAACGGCAATAATCCAGAGAGCGGTTGTTCAGAATAAGGAGAGCATTTAGCTGAGCTCGGTTGAGACGCGCAAAATCTACCACTTGTAGGCAAATGTCGGCAGATAATACCATTTCAATTTGCAACTCGAAATGCACATTTAAACACACGTCATGACGCGTTAGCAGATTACGTTTCATAATGAAAAAAATTGATAATGAGAAGTGATACAAAGATAAAAATGTCAAGTTTATTTTGTAATTTGTTAGAGTTGTGGCGTTAAAGGGTTTTTAAATGTTTTGTTAAGAAATTTATAAATAAATTTATAATTAAAAGGACATAAAAAACTTTGTCGTTATTACTTTATATAAAAGGGTAACCTATTGCCCCTTTGCATGATGTTGTTGTTTCAAAGAACCTATTTGGAATGAAATAAAATGCAAAACGTGGCCTTTGATCATAATGTAAAGTATGCAAATAATCCTGGCTTATTCCCTATATTTGCAAACAAGAACAAAAAATGTTTCACGCCATAAATATGAATATATAAACTGTTTTTTAAAAAGCAGTGCTGCTCTATTGTGATATAATATCACTGATATTACTACTAAGAATTCTTGAAAAAAACAAGTGATATTGCCTATCCCTCATAAAGCATATTAAATTTTAAGTTTATTATTTCTTAAAATTCAAAATTTAAGGACCCGATTGGAAAGAAGCTTTGACCAAGATGATCGACATTTGGATAATGTAGTATTTAAAAAATAAAATCATACAAACATAGTACCATAATTTTAAAATAAAATTTTGAAGTCACGAAAAAAACTTAAGTAGTAACGTCATCAACCTATGATTTTTTGAAAACTAAATTTTACTCCAAGTCACTAATGTCATTAATAATACAATAAAATTGTTTAAAAAATTTTTTTATGGAATTAACTAAACTATAATTTTTTTAAACATATTTTAAAACCTATTTTTTTTTAATTAAAATTTAAAATAATATATTTGTACTACCTAAAAAGTCTTTAAAAATTATATTTTTTACAACTTTGTTTATAAATTACAGCATATAGTATATACTAAATATATAATAATTATTAAAACTACTTAAAAGATAAAACATTTTAAACACATTGTGTATCCAGGCACTTATCTTGCAAATTTTTATTAAATTTTGGGTTCATTTTGAGTTCAATTATAATATAATTTCACAATAAGCGTAATGTCAAATTCTTATCTTAAATAAACATTATAAAAAGGCAAATTATTAGATTAAATTTTATTTGTAATTCTTTCTTCAATAAAGAAACTTAATACCGAACTTTTTCCTAGAAAATTTTGCAACTGTTGTGAGTACTTTACAATTTAACAATGGATTGGTGAGAAGGGACAAACATTATTGTTATGCCTAATAATATGACCTTTTTGACTAATGTTTTTAGATAATATAAATTACATAGCTAATTGTGAAAAGGGACGACACAAAGCAAAAAGTTATTTTCGTTGACCTTTTTGACGTAAGCATTTTTTTATTTTTTATTTAATTAGGTTTAATTTAATTTTGTACTAACATTTTTACATTTCGTCGCAAGAGTTTCATTTTTACTACATTTTAGCATTTTATAGATATTAAAAAGCTTCTTTAATTTTTTTTTAGTCTTGTTTGAGGCAACAATTTAAGAATTTTTATAAAAAAATGTGGGTCTCAAGGAAATTCAAAGTTTTAAATTTGGAATATAATATATTATATTTTATTAAATAACTAAATTGCACCATTGGATTTTTAGTGATATTTTAATGTTATTAAAAAAATAAAAATATTGTTCCTTCTTAGGTTTCTATATTAATTAACGAAATTTATTTCTTATACTTAGTAATATAAATTGTTTAAATAATATCCACATTTTAACATATTTTTATTCCTTTACTCGTTTAAGCCTTATTTGATTTTACAATTTAATTTTTTTTTATTTTTGGAACTAACAATATTTTAAAGGTTTTTAAATAATAATTAATTAATTTTTACTAAAACAATTAAAATATTCGTAAATATAAATATAAATTTTGCAGTAGTTTTAAAATACAACAATTATTATTTTATTTAAAATGTAGGTACCTAGTACTGTACATTTTTTTTATTTTGTCAATTATCTATTACGTATTAATATAACAATTTTAAAATCGTTTTATAAATCTCCTGAACTTTTCAACTGGATATTAATATGATAAATTAGTTTTGTGATCAAAGTCCCTTCCATGCAATTAAAATCCATAGTTTGTCGAATTTAATATCAGTTCGGCAAGAGTTAGAAAATTACTGGCACTCCAAAAGGAAAGGCAAACGGTCCCGAATATTTTAATAAATAATTTAATTAACTGTTATGAAACCCTCCATTACGTTTCGCCAATAAAACGGATACATATTTATGATTTACGATAGGTCAATTGAAATGCTGCAATTAAAGGAAATATAAAAGTTTAATTAAAGGGTAGGCATTTAAAAAAGTTATTTTTTTCGAGCGTATAACAATTTTTATATTATAAAACTCATAAGCCTATATAAAAAAACTTTATATTCGTACGCAGTTCAAAAATTAAATTATTATACACCGCTGTACAATAATGAAAATACATTGAAAATACATAGAAAGAGTGGTTCCATCTATCGCGTTTAGTTCGAAATCAGTAAAGAAAATGTGTCTTACACTGTAGAATAAATTCATGTACACAACCTATAATATAACTTAAGTCAAACTTTAAACCTGAAAAAATGTCGCAAACCCGATAATTTCAATATAAGTAAGTACAGAATTATTAAGTGCTTAATCAAAAATGACTAATTACTACAGTTATTAGTGGCTGCTTTTTCACTTGTACCATGGTTAACCATGAGATACCATAATATCCCAAAAGTTAAAAGAGTAGAACAGTTTTTGAGATAAAGTCAATTTTCCATTTAATTTGGAATTGGCTATATCTCAAAAACTGCTCTATAGAGTATACTTTCATAATTTTTGACGGTATTTTCAGATTCAGGGGACAATTTTACATAAGAATTGGCTGTTAAATTTTGGGATACGATGGTATCCCATGGTTAACCATGGTACAAGTGAAAAAGCAGCCACTAATAACTGTAGTTATTAGTCATTTTTGACTAATTCATTTTTAGAGAGTTAACTATTTTAATTTGATTCTACAATTATTGTAAATAGGTTATACCCGGTTTACGTATCACCTTATAATTAGACAAGTTATAAATATCTGAAGTTTATATTATAATTTATTATCAAAAATTTTTCTACGAGTAGTAAAATCATCCTTAGATTGAATTTTAAAATTAAGGGATATTAAAGTTTGTAAAAAATTTTATAATTGAGGCAAAACGCGCCAAACTTGCCACATATTGGCCGGTCAGGGTTTATACTGCAGTATAAACCATGGTTTAGTAATTAGCTTAATTTTTTTATATGTTTTTTCAAAAAATTAAGTTTTTTGCGTAGTTTTAGGATTCCCACATAACTTGAAATGGGATGAAATAGGGTATGAACTTCATAAAGGTTCCAAAATTCCATTATTTTCATAGGGCCTAAGCAAAATAACATTTTGGTGAAAATTTGAGAAAACAAAACCTAAACCGATATTTACGTTCGTGACATGTTTTCTTCATAATTTTGACCTCCTGATTGTGATTCAGTTGTCAAATTTAAGTTTTAGGTAAAACCAAAATCACGAAGAATCAAGATTCGAAAACAATTCCCGGCTGTTAAATGTCTCTGCAGGTAATAAAGTGTGGTCGTGTTGTGTGTTGGGTTCAGGAATATTTTGTATTAGTATTTTAATATTTTGGTTTGTTTAATTGACCTAAATAAACCAAAAAAAATAAGAATACATTGACCAATAAACCAGTATAGGTTTTATTATTTTAATTCTTTGGGTGAATTTTTTTTGCATTCGTTAGACCATCAACTCTATTAACCATAAACCCTATCAACCATCAAAGTTGAATTTTTGATTTTATCGAAAAAACAATCCATGCCATTTATGACAATATAAACTACTTATACAAATTTATATAGGTACTTAATATTTTTAAATATTTTGCATATTTAAATTAATTACCTACAACTGTTATTAAAAAAAAAACATTGTATACGAGCAATTGATAAAAATGTCGCCGCCCATTTTTCCTTAAATAATTGGTTATTGGTTGTTAAATATGCAAAATATTTAAAAATATCAAGTAGGTATAGAAATTTGTAGAACTAATTTTTGTTAAAAATGTTATCGGTTGTTTTTTATCCTATCCTATGGGTTGATTGTAAAAAACTTGAAAACAAGCTTCCGATATGGTAAAAAATTAAAATAGTATGTTCCTAAACATTCTGGACTAAACGGTATTGGTCTATGTATTCCTATTTGTTTGTTAATTTTAAGCTTATTTAGGGTAATTAACCAAAACAAACAAAATTTTAAAAAACTAATTAAAAATATTCCAGAACCCAACGTGTCATAACTCGACCATACTTTGACCTTTGTGGAGGTCATAGAATATTTTTTTACTTCTATTATGGAATATGACCGTTCTAATATCACTTTTATCTATGGAATGACATATATTCCGTAAAGTGTTACAGAATGAAATATTCTATCATCTGATGACAGAATAAACACTCGTGGCGACATCTCTGTTTTTAATATCTATAGATATTAATATTATGTTATAACAAATTTTAGGCCGATCCAACCTCACTTTCTTCCAATTAAATTATTTGTCCATGGTATTTTTGGAAACGTAGAAAAAGTATAGTCTGAAACAAGTTTGGAATTGCATATTACCCTCTCGTGAAACTGTCAAACTCGCCTTCGGCTCGTGTGACAAACTTTTCACTCGAGCGGAATATGCCGTATTCCAAACTTGTTACAGAATATACTAATCCCATTCTAGGCTGTTGGAATATACTTGGCATAATTTAATCTAAAAATTAGCAAAAAAATTAAAACAAAAATGTATATATACAGAGCTTTATTTTATTTTTATTTTTCACATAAAGTGATAATAAAATATATTTGTCAACCTCAGCGGCCTTCTTTTAATTGATGTTTGTAGAAAACTATTTTTTAGGTAAGGTAATTCATTTCATTTGCGCACCGATTCACTTAGGTAGATTCTCACTATAGTTAAACAAAACAAATGTAATATTTTTAAACGCATATCTATAAAATGTCCAGGGTTATGGAAAAACTTACTTTCCATGTTCTGTACTGTTCTAGTAATTTGCGACGTGCGCAAATGTAACATTGGCGCACTAGAGTGTAAATGAACACATGTCAATTTTATTTTGACAAAACGTAATGCAACAGGTAATAAAATATGAATCCTAATATTTCAATAAATGTTGTATGCACCTCATGCACGAAATTGGGTTGGTGCTTTCTAAAGATTTGGTATATCAGCTAAAAAACGTCATTCTTATTCACCAACGTTCTATTTTGTGCACATAAAAATGATCGAGAGATTACCTAATTTCTGATGTAAGACCTCAACATTAAAAAGTGATTTAAATATTTAAGATAAAGCATTAAAAAAATTATTATCTGCCTTTCATAAATTATTATTATCTGCCTTGCATAAATACTAGATACCTAGTTAGTTCGTAAATTCCCAATTCCCATCCTTTTCACACCCAAGCACAAAGCCAGGCACATAATTTCGAAACTAAACAAATTTTTTCTTTTATCAATTATTCATTCGCGAAAATTACGCAAATAACGGCCAACCCCGTCGTCTTTTGTCCTACGTATAATTACGTAGTAGGAATTATAACGAATCCAGCTGAGGCAACGTTGAACATAAATACATATAATATAAGCACGTCTGCTAATTCTACAGAGGGACAAATACGTGCGTCTCAAAACCGTTGAGAATATTGCACAGGGATTATGCCCACCACCCAAACATTCTTAAAAAAAATTATTTAAATAAAATTCTTTAAAATTTGTTATAATAAGTTATCCTAGATTAGGGTGAAAATATGTTCTGTATTCCAATCGATGTTGTTTAAATATGGACTCCAGCACGGAAAAAATTCTATTTAAAATCATATAATTTCTTATAAATCCTCACGGGATACTTTGACAACAGAAATGATTTGTCACATTAATGAGTAGTGCTAGGAGCTATAGTAAGTAATATTCTGCACAATTAATATTATTTTCAATAGTTTATTCATTGTATAACTGTTTTGCGCAGTCAGATTAAAAAAAAGTAGGAGTGGTGCACTAAAAAGGCATTTACATAGTTTTATTAATTACAATTTTATGATTATTATAATGTATTATGTCATCATGTATTAGGTATAGGAAAAACCACTTAACGCCCTTGCCCTCTTCCCAAATTTAATATGCTCCACACCAGAACCTCCTTAAGTTGAAAAATGTATTTTAGCTAAAAATGGCATTCTTAAATTAATAATTTCTAGCTTAAGTCAACTATCCTAAAGCAGTTATATTGGTACAATTTTTTATTATTTAGTTGTTATTCCAATTTAGACATGCAAACTATTTTGTCTATGCCTAAAAAATATTTATTATTTAGTAAGTTTATACATATATAATTTTACTCTCCCAAAATGAATTAGTCAAAAATGAACATGTTTATGTCATGTCATGTCATGCCTTGTCATGTTTTATGTCATGAAATGCATTTGTACTGTTTTTGGGCAATAGTTTATATATAATTTTACTCTCCTAAAATGAATTAGTCAAAAATAAACATTTGTACTATGTTTGGGCAATAGTTCTGCTTTTTTAACGTGTATTCTGTTTAAACATATCATTAAGCAAGATTTATTTTTTAGATTGTGTAAACACCGAGTCCTTTAACATTATATTTTGAATCGGCTATCACTTGCATAAAATAGTTATTTGTTTTACAAGTGTTGAAAAGCGACTTTTTCATGCGAGTGTTTAAGTTGCCCACGAGGCCGTTAGGCCGAGTGTGCATTAACACGAGCTTGAAGAAAGCTTTTCTCACAAGTGAAACACAATGTTTTTTCTCAGACCCTTTTATTTTTTATTATATTCAAATACAAAACAAAATAACCTAAAAACGTGTTTGACAGCTGTTAAAATTCTTTCATCTTATTGTTTTAATTTTTAAGGTATAAGTTACTTAAAATCTTACCTTCTTAATTTAAATAAAGGCACTAAAAACTAGAATTTATTATACAAACACAATTAATTGTGTTCTAAATGGTATTTAGACATACATATACAAATAAGTACAATTCGTACAATGTCAAACGATGCTGTCAATTTCTTTTCACACAGACCTGTTACTTTTCACACAGAAATGTCACTTTACATTCGTGTTTTGCCTTGCCAATGAAAAGATTCATTTTCTAAGCAACGATGCCAATACGAAATGTGACTTTTACATAGTGGTCATAGAAAAACAATATTTACACTAAATTACATCGTTTTGAATATAGAAAAAAATGTTAACAAATTCAAACCTCAAAACCAAAACACATTTTTCAACGATATTTGAGAAATAAAGGGCCTTTGTATTTTTACACACATTTAAACTTTTGTCTAGGCTCCTGGCAAGCTATTTTTTAAATTTAAATTTAGTGTAAACTTTACACTGTATATAAAAAATTTGTTAACAAATTTTTAATAAACTTATTTTACCTTACCTTCGCTCCAAGACAACCTCATTAGCTAAAATATCATTCTTCCGGTTACACTCCATGTGTTGTATTATCTAGGGCCAGAATGCATCCCTCCCAGAACAAAGAGAGTTCTGTTTAGAATACCCATGCAATTTAATACGGTTAAGCCAAAACACGGAGTTTATTAGCCTCAGCTTATTTGCAAGTCTCTTTTACTTTTATTACGATGAAATAATTATAAATAAAATTGTTGTAAAAATACCAAATACCAAAATACAAATTTAACACTCTTTTAAAAAATATTTTTAAACATGGGTTATTCCATGCCGAATAAATATAAAAATGTATGTTTAATGCATATTTTACCATTTTTTTATCGATTTTATATGGAGATTTGCCTACTTAATTATGATAAAGTTAGTAAATTGTTTGGCACAGTTAAATTTATTATAAATTAGTAATAATTTTATAAAAAAAATTAATAATGTTTACATAAATTTTTAATTAAAATTACATAATCAAACCTAATTGGGCTCTATAATTATAACAAAAAACAATTGCCTTTAATTACAAACTAAAATGGATGTGTCGCGTTTTAAGAAAGTGTCACTTCTCTATTTATAGCAAAATTTAGTCAGTAATTACTCGCTTTTTTAGCCCAATCAATAACTTACAAAGAGCACAAACTGCTCCCAAAGGTACATGAAATAATTACAAATAACTTGATGTAGCCCACTGATTAAACTGGCTCGTAGTTATAAAGCAAAATATTTATTAATTACAGAACATGAAGCAACCGTCTATTTTCTCGCAATTCGCTGGTACCATGCCACAACTTATAGCTGTGCTAAGTGGTACCTTAGTGGCGGTATCAGATGGTATGAATACTGGCTGGACTGCACCAGTCATACCAATTTTACTGGGTGAAGATAGTCCCATTAAAACCACAAAACATGAAGCTGAATGGTTGGAAACTATATTGATGGTTGGTTCTTTTGCTGGGTTACCGTTTACGATTTATTCTGTAGATAAGTTCGGGAGAAAAAGGTCCCTGTTGATTGCGGCGTTTGTTACATTGATATGTTGGATTTCCATTGGTTTGGCTACAAAGATTGAACACCTTTTGGCTACAAGATTTTTCTGTGGGATGGCTGGTGATATGGCGTTTGTTGCTGCACCAATGTACGTTGGAGAAATTGCAGACCAAAAAATTAGAGGATTTTTATCCAGTGTCATTTACTTGATGATGTTAGTTGGGATTCTAATGGTATACTCTATAGTCCCATTTGTACCTTTTTATGTACCATCCATAATAGGCGGTGGATTAGTTCTTATTCAACTCATAGTATTTCCTTTTATGCCTGAATCCCCATACTATCTTCTCTATAAAAACAAACCCGAAGAAGCTAAAGCTGCTCTAAAAAAGTTCAGGCAGAGTGAAGATATTGATGATGAATTCATGGACATTTGCAAGGCTGTAGAAAGACAACGCACAGAAAAAGGAAGACCACAAGATCTTCTCTTAGTAAAGAGCAATCGCAAAGCTTTCGTGATAATGGCGATTTTAAATGCCTCTCAACATTTTAGCGGTATAAGTGTTTTACTAATGAACGTACATATTATTCTTGAAGCCGCTGGTACTGTTTATATCCCATCTTCAATATCGGCCATATTATTCTCTATAATTATGTTGGCTGCTGCAACCGCAACCTCTTTTACAATCGATAAATATGGTAGAAAGGTTTTACTGTGTACATCTAGCTTACTAGCAGGTTTTTGTATTCTCTCGTTAGCAGTGTACTTTCACCTTAAGAATATAGGCTATGATGTACTTCCAGTAAGTTATATACCCATTGTATCTGTTATGGTATATGCCGCTGTATTTAAGCTAGGCTTAGGTATGGTGCCCATTGTACTAACCGCTGAATTATTCCCAGCGAAAATGAAAGCCATGGGTATGACTCTAGCCGATGGTATGTACATAATATTTTCAATTGCATCTCTACAGGTGTACCAATTGCTATCGGATAAATATGGATTCCATGTACCTTTTTATATTTTCTCTATCTGTTGTTTTTTCACGACCTTATTCACGACTTTATTTATCCCAGAGACAAAAGGTAAAACTCTTGATGAAATTCAATTTATATTAAAAGGAAAAAATGCAGACAGAAAAAATAACGCAATCTAATAAATTTGGTTGGCTTATTAAGGTGAGTTATTTGATTTGTATTTTATGAGTTAAAATTTAAGATTAAATATTGCATATGTATATTTTGTATGTTTTATTTTTTATTTTTATTAACAGGGCAAAATTATTATGTACATTTGAAAAAAAAATATTCATTTGATACTGTTGTCAATGAACGTAAATAAATTGAATTTAAATTTAACCTGTGATATTTACTTTAGTTATTTAGTTCAAATGTGAAAAATAATATTTTTTAGAGAAACTTGTTATAAATGTTATATTAAATAAATATATTGCAACGTTTATTATTTTTTTGATTTTATTGTTCTAACCGCCCTCGGTGGTGTAGTAGACTACTACTAGTAGTTAGCACTGCCGAGTGGTCGTGGGTTCGAATCCCACCAGGGGTATGGCTGTTTATTTGTGTTTGTCATTGTGTACTCCTGTAATTGGGCATGGTGCCTGTTGAAAGCACATTAAAAATTATAAAATAAAAATAAATAAAATAAAAACCTAATTTATTAATGCCCTAAAATTTGTATTAGTTTGAAAGCAATAGCAATCTTATTTATCCTAACAGGCGTTAGCATTTAATATATTTTAATTAAAAAAAAATTCACACTTGTTCCAATACGATATAACAATATAATTTATTACCTAACAGAATATATAATTCCAATTACAGGACAACATATAATAACAACAACACAAAAAATTAAGTATTTATAATTATAAAAAATATTAATTTGCCTACTCCTACCCTTAAAAATACTAAATATAAATTTTAAGTAATATTAAAAGAAATAAATAACATGGCTGTATTAGATACACTCCTAAAACTATCATTAAATAAATCACACGAATCACAGATTTGGTTAAAGTTTTGACACATAACATGTATAGGGGATTTAAACAGAATATTTGTTCTAGCTTGATACAAAAATGTTTATTTGCGACAGTAGATTGGCAGAGTAAACCTTGTTTCAAGTTTCAAGTTTCAAGTATTAAGTTTCTTTACCATATGGTCACGGTAGTACATAATAGTTTAACCTATTATGTACTACCGTGACCATTGTACTGTATGTGTTGTATGTATTGTACTACCGTGACCATATGGTAAAGAAACTTAATACTTCAAACTTTTCTTCTAACAAGTAATGAATTAAAATGGAACCGTGAAAGTAGAATGTTATGGTCAATCTGTAAGATAAAAAATTAGCTTGAAGTGATGTCTTTGAATGTTTTCTAAATAGTATATTGATTTGAGATTGTTAGCATGGGTACCAAATAATAGATAAGTACTCTAGTCTAGACAGTATAAGTTGGCAGTATATTGCATTAAGTGGGGAGATATTTTTAATAGCAGATGCAGTGGCAGCCCGTGACATTTCATTTTGGTTAGGCAGAGGCAGGGTTTCGCCCTCATTTAAAGGCGAAGAAATTTTTTTAAACCCAACTTAAAAAAACTGACGTCGCAGTTCACAACCTATACTTAAAACTAAGTAAAAAACTTAGACTGTGGTGGGGAAGGAATCCTCTACATTGTCAATGAAATATATTTTATTGTAAAAATGACGTTTATTTTAAATAAACCTAATTTTTGTCTAATTAATATTTCATTGTTCAGCAAGAACCACGTGAAGGTCAACAATATCGGTACAATTTTTCACCGTAATATCCATAATGACTAAATATCACCGTAATATCCATAATGACTAAATTCACATAAATCATATTGACTAAATTCACATAAATTACCAAACCCACAGAATAAACCACTTACAAAAGAATCATAAAATAGACAAACTCGTAGAAAAAGAATAAATATTGCGTAAATTACCACAAATTTGTTCCTTAAAAGTTCAGAATTTTATAACCAAAACAAACCTAAAGAAGGAATCTGTATTTATTTTATTGGTTACTGATGGCGATAGTGTTAAAATATGTTTATTTTAGAATAGAAATATAATTTAGATTAAATCGATTTATTATAAGAAAAATAATACCATTTATTATTAAATTTTGAAAAACGTGTGAAGTATAATTTATCTAAAATTCCGCAACAGTGTTGCCACAACACCTTGGATGTAGGCGTGACTGCCTCGCGTATGCTAATACGAGATAAGGAGACAACTATAATATAGCATTGTAATAGAACGAGACAACAAGACTAACGCCAATCGTGAGTCTAAATTAGTTCAGGCATGCTTCTGAGCCAATCATCTAGCTATAAATATTAGTTTAAATTGCGGTCGTTTCAAATTCAAATAATTTAAATGTGGCTGGGTATTCAACGTATAAAATCTATCAATTTTATTGACTTTTTCACAATTCATATAATCCAAATATAAAAAATTTATAGTATATTATAGAAAGTAAAATATTTAAATTATACTTAATTTTTTAATTCTCTGTGATAATGCACTGCCTCACCTGCCTCCCTTGACGGGCCGCCACTGAGCAGATGTGTTTCGATTTATAAAACCCAGGAGTTCGAGAGTGTAAGAGTATATACTTTAAACATGAGCATTAAATGAAAGTTTACTGTAAAAAGATACCCAGGTCCCTGATTGTTTTAGTACGAGAAACAATTGAAATATTAATTAAACAATCAGACCATAGCTAATTATTTAAGGGTTAACGTACATATTTTGCACTTGTTGATGTTAAGTAATAGCTTATTTTAATTGCACCAATCTGCTACTTTATCCAATTCCTGCTGAAGGTAAAGCAAAGCACAAAGTAAGTGATGACAAGAGAGAATCTTTAATAAAAATATTAAATAAAAGAGGGCCTAAATTGGATCTTTGAGGAACTCCAAATAGCCACAAAATAGTTTTAGTTGAATCCATTACAGTAAACAAATAATTTTCTATTAGAAAGCTAAGATTTAATTAATTTTATTAGAATGACTAAATCCGAAGTTTCTCAGTTTTTCCAATAAAATGCCATGGTTTACCTTATCTAAGGCCTTTGAAAAATCCCTATACACTACATCAACTTGACATTTTGAATCGAGATATAAGAGAATTCAGCAAGGTAAGTCAATGTGGAACGCTTGTTCATAAAACCGTGTTGTTGGAAAGAAATTGTATTTTTAATATTAAGTTTGACAATATAGCTATTGAACTGTAATTAGTTAGATCATAATTATAAAAAAGTTGGGTACTTGGTCATCACCAAAAGAAGAATCATTTTTAGGTTTTGAAATTGAATTTGACAGAGAAATTATTAATATGTAAGGTGGAGTTATTCAAAAAGCTTCTTTGTATATTAAATAGGTCAGGGGTGGTATTAGTATAAACGCTATTAAAATATTGGGCATCGTTAGTCAAATTCTTCTCAATATCATCAAAATATTTGCGATAAGCTAAACAAATTTGTGATTTCATAATTTTACGAGTATTTTTAAAAATATTAAAATAGTTAGCTATTTTGTTCTTCATACTTTTTATGATAGTTAGACCTAGTTATTACTATTAGCTTGTGTGGAACATATAGATCATATAAGGGCCATTCCACGCTTAACGGATAAGACAGTTGCCGTGTTTTTATTTACAAAATAATATTGTTCTATTATATTACCAATGTCAAATTTTTATAAAACTATTTATATATAAATAGTTCTATACAAAAGCTGTTTAACAAGGTTTTTATTTGTCAAAATTAGGTATCGTGATTGACTGTTTAATTCCTTAAAAATTAATAATTTAAAGCGTAACGGTCGGGACTATTACAACTGTCAAAATACGATGATCACAGCCTTCAATGATTGACGCTTGCTGACGCTGAACACTGGTTATGAATTCCATACCAATATATAAAGCGCGTATGAAAAGTTAATAAAACGCAAAAAAGCAATTTTCTACCACTTGTAGTTACTCAAAACTTTTGTAAAATTAAAGAATATACTGTGTTGTGTCTTGAGATGGTATGTTCGTGCAAATACGAGTAGAAATCAACAATTTAAAGGTCTAAATTGCTACCAAAACTGTGACGCACTGTAAATCTGTTCATGCAGCGTTCCTAAAAACCTTTTAAATTGGTACTTGATGAAGACGAAAATTGACGTTGGAAATCGAAAAATAAATTTTATTTATTTAAACACAATTTGGTGTGGAACTTTCTTACGGAATAGAGGTCGAATTAAATCCGGAAATTTTTTCTCGCTCATGAGCGCGAAAAAATTTCCAGAAATAATTTGACCTCTATAGAGGTCAAATGCTGTATCTATAGTGGTATTACTAGTGATAATTTAGGAAGTTCAAAATGTTTTTTTGCTAATTTTTTTATTGAGTATAATAATTTATAGTATAGTATAACAATAATTGTAGGATATTATGTTAATTGCAATAAAAAGCATAGGAATGTTGGCACAAGAGGTGAAATATATTATTTTACAAATTATAATATACCAGTCCACAGTTTGCCCCCGGATCGGACTTCCGATAGGAAAAACTTTTTTAGACCTGATACAGCTAAACCGAGCACGGATTTAGAATCTACGACTAAAAATTATGTTTACGTGTCCGAGCGTTTAGCTGTGATATTTCAAATTTACCTACAGTGTTATCAGATAAACACAAATCCAACATGCCTCCATTAAAATTCAAAACAATGTTATATGGTTTCAAGGCAAAAAAAATGCAAAAAGTTATTAAAAGTATTGGTTCAAAAGTAGTTAACATTTTTGTAAGATTAGATATGTTAAAATCATCAACGATAACAATATTTCGTAAACCTCCAATAGAATTTGAATGAACGTATTTAACACTGTCTAAGCGTTAACAGAAAGTATTATATTTATTATATATAAACCTATTATAAAAGATTTAAGATAATAAAACATAATTGTGCAATGTGTTTAAAACAAGCGTGATCTGTAACTACAAATTCGGTAAGAGACTCGAATACATTTTATAAATCGTTAATAAAAATATTTAATTTTAGGAATAATTGAAAATGAAAACCAACCCAGCCTTCTGTATATTTTCTGGGACCCTTCCTCAAGTTGTAGCAGTATTATGTGGTAAAAATAATGTACATTTAACACTTCAAAATTTACAATTTTACATTTAAGGAACTTTGGTTGCAATGTCAGATGGCATGAACTATGGTTGGACCTCACCAGTAATACCAATCTTACTAAGCGAAAAATCCCCCATAAAAACCACTATGCACGAATGCGAATGGCTGGAAAATATCCTAAACGTAGGAGCCTTTGCAGGACTTCCTGTAACCATTTATTTGGTTGACAAAATAGGAAGAAAGAAGTGTTTGCTTTTGGCCGCCTTTGTTTCTTTACTGTGTTGGATTTTGGTGGCAATTGCAAATAGAATGGAGTACCTTTATGTTACCAGATTTATGGGAGGTATGGCAGGTGATATGGCTTTTGTAGCAGGACCGATGTACATAGGTGAAATAGCCGATCAAAAGATCAGAGGATTTTTGTCGAGCATGATATACTTGATGATGTTATGTGGGATTATAATTATATACTCCGTAGCTCCATATGTACCATTTTATGTGCCTTCAATTATTGCCGGAACTCTTTTAGTTTTGGAGCTGATTTTGTTTCCATTCATGCCCGAATCTCCGTATTATCTTATTTTTACTGGTAAAACTGAAGAAGCTAAGAAAGCTTTACTACATTTCAGACCAAATAAAGACGTTGAAGCTGAACTCCAGGATATTACAGCTGCCATTAAAAGACAAAAAAGCGAAAAAGGAAGACCACAGGATCTTATTCTTATAGACAGCAACAGAAAAGCACTTCTTATAATGACTGTATTGAATGGAGCTCAACATTTTAGCAGTATAAGCGTGATTATAATGAATCTTCACTTAATTCTAGAATCTGCTGGTTCAATCTACATGGAAAGTTCATTGGCTGCCATAATATTTGCTGTAATTATGTTTTGTGCTGCTACAGTGTCATCGTTTTCTATGGACAAATTTGGTAGAAAAATACTGCTTTCTACATCTACAATATTAAGCGGGGTATGTTTACTAGTAATAGCTGTATACTTCAACTTTAAAGATTATGGAGTAGACGTTAAGTTTATAAGCTGGATACCTATAGTTTCGGTAATGTTCTATGCATGTGCATTTAAGCTAGGTTTAGGCTTAGTGCCTATAGTACTAACAGCTGAATTATTCCCAGCCAAAATGAAAGCTATAGGGATGACGTTAGCTGATGCAATGTACGTTGTTTTTTCATTGATTTCTATATATTTTTATCAATGGTTATCGGATTCCTATGGAATTTTTGTGCCATTCTACTTATTCTCAGCTTCCTGCTTTATTACTACTATATTTACATTGCTTTTTATTCCTGAGACTAAAGGTAAGACCTTGGAGGAAATTCAGTTTATTCTTAAAGGAATAAAAGAACCTGTTAAAGGAAAAAGAGATTCTGTTTTATAGAATGAAGTTAAGAATAAATATTGTTTTTACTGTGTTGTATTATTTAGGTTTAATTAAAGTAAAGTTTATATCTCCATGTGTTCTTGTTTGCACAGTTAGACTAAGCCATATTTGCATACTGCATACATATTGCAATGGTTTTTTTGCTGCTTTAATTGCACACCAAAATGCTTTTAAAGGAGACATATTTTGGTTGTGAATTAAAAGACGAAATGTGCTATGAGAAAAAATATAGAGTACTTTATAATATTAACGCATTTTATAAGAACATTTAACAAATATGGATTTTAGTATGTAGGCAACCCAGATTACATTCTTTATAGAAATACTGTTACAGTTGATGGGTTTTTACAAATCTTTATTTAGTTGATAAGCTTTTTACTTAATCAAACATAACAGTGTAAGCGATTTAAGACCGCAACAACTTGGAAGACGTAGTTATGTTATATGTCATTTCACACCTTTCTTAAAAGCATTCTCTAGTTAGGCCCTTTACTTTAGGATATTAGTTTTAAGTATCTTTAAGTATTCATAGATGCATGAGAATTTTATGTATTTTTAGTTTTCAAGACCATTCTAAAAATTGTGAGCAACGAACGTAGTCGTTCACTGAATTTTTTGTTTCACCTAATATATAAATACTTAAGTAAAGTATATAGTTTTTTTTGCTAAATTTATCAACGAATAACTTAATTGGCGCAGTCGTTAAGGATAGTGCAAAAGTCCGCTGAAGAAATTTGCGTACTTTTTGGTATTAACCATTAATGCTCTACATCGAACCAGAACTTCCAAATAAGTGCTTATTACATAAGAGTACATCTATAATAATTAGTGCTACAAATCGTCGAAGTTTGGACCTGAATTAAGGCAACGCCGTTCCAGCCCCAGACAAGACCCCCTGCTGTTGTGCGTACCAAATAAGTGCTTATTACATTGGAGTACATCTATAATAATTAGTGCTACAAATCGTCGAAGTTTGGACCTGACTTAAGGCAACGCCGTTCCAGCCCCAGACAAGACCCCCTGCTGTTGTGTGTACCAACTCACCCAGATAATAAATCAAAGGTATTGTGTGCATGCTTAACTGTTTTCCTTCTTTCTCAACAATCCTTTAGCGAATTTTGAATATACGTATATTGCTACCTACCTTTTGTCAAGTAATTTATAATATACCTATTATTGTATGATTAATCTTAATAATATTATAGAAGATTTTGCTAATATGGCGTTAAATAATCAACAAATTAATAATAATGCACCGAATGTGCTTTCAATTCGAGATGCCAAAGAAATGGCAACAACTTTGCGACCTTTCAATGGTCACCATTTAAATTTAACAACATTTTTATTAGATGTAGATTCGTATTATAATACATACGGCAGAACCTTAGATCAAAATTTAACAAATTACGTAAACGCGGTAATTCGTTCAAAATTAACCGATGAAGCAGCTCATTGGCTGGCTTGCAGACCGGACCTTCGCGTTTGGCCGGCGATTAAAAACGGGTTAACCGAAAAATTTAGCGACCGTACAAATCGTCACTTGCTTCAACAACAATTTTCATATTTGACTAAAGAAATTAACGAAGACATTCTTCCTTTTATCGAGCGTTTAAAATCTTTACAAATACGGCTTAATTTAAAAATTCAATCCGATCAAACATTAGCTCAAAATGCTCGAGATGCCCTTATGGCTCAAAATGAATCCATTGCTGTAACTGTAATAATAGCCAATTCTTGCCCAATGTTACAACAATTATTAATTGTTCAAAATCCAAATACCTTGGATGAAGCTAGCACTACTGTTAACAATTTTGTGTTGCGACAACAACACATTAACCAAATTCGTTCAACTGCCGGTACTAGTAATCATAAAACACAATCGAACACCAAATCAAAACCACAACATTTTCAACGACCAGTACCTGAACAAAATAACTTTTTACCTACCAATTATCATAAAAACCCTACACCTCAATACAACACGTTTTTGCGAACAAATCAACAAACTTGGCAAAGCGAAAATCAGGTGCCATCTTCGTTTCAACCTAACTATAAACCACATTTTCCATCTCAACCAATTTCCATCCGGGCCCAACCTGTAAAAAATAATTTCCCAACTAATAGACAAGTGTTTGGGTCACAAAAAAATGTATTTCATCCGAAAAATGCACCACGACCCACCAATTTACCTGAACCAATGTCGACCTCATCACGACTACCTTCCAGACAAATCAGTCAGAGATATAACTATTTTAACCCTTCAGGCCCCCGCAATTTTGTGTCTGAAGAACTAACAAATATTAATTTTGAAGATGAAGTAGACCAAACAGGTGAATATGAAAAATACTCAGAACAAAATCTCGAAAATTATGAGAACCACGATAATGAATATCAAATACAACCACATAACGACGATATAAATTTTCAAGTAACCGAGCCTTCGACAGACACTACATAGACCTAAACAATTTAATACCCAATTCTCTGCCTTTCATACAACTTACCGAACCACCCATAAAACTTCTTATCGACACGGGGTGCCATTGTTCAATGTTACGCCCCTATATTGCCGAAACATATTTTCCCCATACAATTATAAAAGATGATACCCCAATAAAAACATGTGCGGGGACAAGACAAGCTCAGTTTAAAGCAAAAATACCGCTTATCCACAACATTCCGCTTGACTTTGTATTATTTTCATTTCATGACTACTTTGATGGTATTCTCGGTATCCGAGACTTAAAGAATTTAGGACTATACTTAGACTTTCAAAACCAACAGTTAATCGGTAAAAACTTAACACTCCCATTCCTTTATCGCGATGACTTTTCCTTCCAAAAGCTCGAAATACCTCCCAATTCAACGATCATAAAAAATGTCAAAGTAAACTTACCTGACCAGCAATATATTATACCAGCCATACGAGTAGGATCACTAAACATCCCTTCAGGATTAATTGAAGTAAAAAATGGGTCTACTAATATAGAATTCGTTAATAACTATAATCAAACAAAATTAGAACGCTTCTCCTTAGACTTTTTAAAACCTTTTGTTACGCAGGCAAATAATTACGAATGTTATAACGCCGAATTAATAATCCCGGAAAGATTAAATCCCATGGAAACGCTACAAGAACTTAATATGTCCTTAATTCGAAGTGATCACCTCAATAACGAAGAAGAAGAAGAATTATTTAAATTACTTTCTTCTTATTGCGATGTTCTCTACCACCCGACTGACAGACTTTCATTTACCAACAAAATCAAACATGAAATTAAAACTACAGATGAGACACCTATCCATACTAAATCCTATCGATACCCGTATGTGCATAAAGAAGAAGTACGTAGGCAAATTAATGAAATGCTTGAAAACGAAATTATTAGACCTTCACAATCTCCCTGGAGTTCTCCAATTTGGATCGTTCCAAAAAAATTGGATGCCAGTGGAAAACAAAAATGGCGTATTGTGGTAGATTATAGAAAAATTAACGAAAAAACGGTAGATGATCGTTACCCAATACCAAATATTAATGACATTTTAGATAAATTAGGGCGTTGTAATTATTTCAGTACGTTAGATTTAGCATCCGGTTTTCATCAAATCGAGATGCATCCAGATTCCATAAAAAAAACTGCATTTAATGTTGAAAACGGCCATTACGAATTTGTCCGTATGCCATTTGGCTTGAAAAATGCGCCGGCTACATTTCAACGCGTAATGGATCATGTTTTAAAAGACTTGCAAGGAAAGGTGTGTTTAGTATATATGGACGACATTATTATCTTTTCGTCGTCATTACAAGAACACATTAATAATTTAAAATTAGTTTTCAATAAACTCAGGGAGGCAAGGTTAAAAATTCAGTTAGATAAATCAGAATTTCTCTGCAAATCAGTAGAATTTTTAGGACATGTCATAACCCCTGAAGGCATTAAACCAAATCCGAAAAAAATAGCAGCAATAAAAAATTTCCCTATACCTAAAACCACCAAAGAAATCAAATCGTTTTTAGGACTTACCGGTTACTACCGTAAATTTATAAAAAATTTTGCAAAAATCACTAAACCCATGACCAATTGTTTAAAAAAAAATAATAAAATAGAACACACCTCCGAATTTATTAAAAGTTTTAATTTGTGCAAATCCATCCTCATAAACGAACCAATTTTACAACACCCTGACTTTACCAAACCTTTTAATGTGACAACTGATGCGTCAAATTATGCATTAGGGGCTGTACTTTCTCAGGGACCCCCTGGAAATGACCTTCCCATTACGTATGCATCTCGCACGCTTAATCCAGCAGAAATAAACTACAGCACAATTGAAAAAGAATTGCTAGCAGTAGTGTGGGCTGTTAAATATTTTCGGCCCTACCTGTATGGGACAAAGTTTAAAATAATTACCGACCATAAACCCCTCCAGTGGCTGTTCTCACTTAAAGAACCTAAAAGTAAGCTTGTCCGTTGGAGATTAAAGCTCGAAGAGTATGACTACGAAATTATTTACAAAAAAGGGACACAAAATCTAAATGCAGATGCTCTTTCTAGAATTAGAAACACAGAGTGCAATGTATTAGAGTGCCACCCACTTGAATTAAATAGTGATGATAAGCTGTCAATTATTGCTAATTATGACCCCAATGAACAAGAAAATCGACACTTAACAGAGCTTACTTCAGAACAAGAAATAGACTTACAGGATTTAAACGAAATTATTAACAACGAAATGACAATAGACGAAAGACCCGAAATTAATATTTTACAAGACATACAAATAAGGCCCCCTGACGATAGCAATAACGATGACTTAAATACTATCCATTCTAGTTACGAAGATCCAATTTTTGGAGCAAAATATACAGAAAAGGCAGTCAATTTATTTAAGAACCAGATTTTTTTTGAAGCCATCAATACCATCCATGAAACCACAAAACAGACAATTAAAGCAAGAAAGCAAACAATTTTTGGTAATATTAGACTTTCCATTTGTTATTATCTACATCTTATCCCTAGCGAACAAGAATTAGTACAATTTATAAAAGAATATTTAAAGCCTAAAACAACGTATTGTTTGTATGTGAATGATGAATACGAAACCATAATTAACAAACTTTTGAAACTATTACAAAATTCATTTAAAGCGTCCGCTTTCAATTTAATTTTATCACGTAATTACTTACAAGATATTACAAATGTCGAAGATCAGTGGCAAAAAATTAAATTTCAACATGAAACCAAAACCACCCATAGGGGTTACAATGAAAATCTTAATAGTCTACAACGTCTATATTATTGGCCAAAAATGGCAGAAAATGTTCGACATTACATTAATACCTGTACGATATGCCAAAAAAGTAAATATGAAAGACATCCTCACAGAATTGTTTATAAACCTACCCCAATAGGCTCTGAGCCTTTTAATCATTTATATATCGATACATTTAAAATTGAAGGCAAAATATTTCTTACTGTTATAGACAGTTTTTCAAAAT